ATGCAGCAGCTGGCTGTTAGATTCTATTATCTGTACCCTCTGACTGCATCCTGAGTCTTCGTGACAGGAAGTGCCACAAATCCCTACATGGAAATATAGGTGTGATAGATACTGCAGTAGGAGATAATAAAATCTGTGCTCTGGTTTTCATTTTCTTAGGAAAACCAGTTGGAAACATGTTCATGTGTATTTAATATAGCAACTGCTAGACTAGAGCATAAATACAAACATAAATCAGTTTATGTACCATAGTGCTGACAAATAGTTGTGAAAGCCTTTAGCCTTTCATGTTCTCAATTTCCCATCTTCCTGGGATGGTAAAGACTGTTAATGCTTAGAGAGCATTCATGCTGCCCAGGCACACTGGAGCACCGTGTGGCTAGCTAGGTAGCTAGCAGCAGTCTGTGTAACAGTAGAGATAGTTTTCTTCGAACGAGTGTTAGCAATTAATATGAAAATACTTTGGTTTAGAAGGGCCAGATGTGCTGCATTTGACTTCTGATGAACTATTCACAAAAACAATCTTTTCAGTGGCTTTTGGTCTATTCTAGGGATATAGAGAAAAAAGCTGCTGGAAATTCATTATTTATGCTTAGGTGCTTCCTCCTTTTCCACCCACTTCCCCATACTGGAATACCTTGATGATATTGCAAGAAACTATTTCCATTCCAATGAATAAACATCTCAGTAGGAATCTAATTTAATTTTTATGCAATATGCTGTATCATTTGAACCTATGATCTAAGTTTTGTTGGAACAAGAACTTGGAGTGACATATAAGAAACTTCAAAAAGTCCTTCCTTTCACATCACAGTATGACTGTAGACTCATAATTTCACCAGGGTTATCTCTGTCAGTGACATCTATAAAGAACAGTTTCACAGCGGGATAGCCGGCAGTGTCTTTTCTTACCTGTAGCGCCACTAGAAAATAGCAAAGAGAACTAATGCTGCCAGATTGTGTATGTTTTATGCTATAGAATGAATGTGATGATTTATAGAAGCTGCTGTCTGTAATTACAGCCCACATAGGTCGTCTTCAGGTTTTCTTTTTGTCTTATCAGGGGGCTACTATGAAGGAATACAGGAATAATGTGTAAATTCTCTCTTCTTTTTCCAGTCATAGAGAAACTGGTGTCTCTTATGTGTCAGAAATGAGGGGGAGGTTGTGTTTCACAAATATCAAAAAGGGACCATTCCTAGACAGCATTTAGTTAACAAGAAGCCAAGGGTCTGTGCCATTGCATCTCTTGTACCACCATTTGTGTGTTTTCTGTCATCATCATTATTCTTAATGAAGTCTCAGCTTGTTAAATTCGGCACTGAAACATAAGAAGATATTATTGCTGCTAAGGAGCCTACGTTCTGTAAGAAAAAAGGGAGGATGGCATCATCTGCCTTTCTTTTTTGGTAGCTGTTGGGTAATCTCTTAATGCAGATTTTTTTATCAAAATCCTCCAGGTGGTACATGCCAAATGACCTTTTCCCAGAGAATAAATGAGGAGCTGTTTGTCAAGTAACTGTATTAGGAAGGATTTTCCATGTGTGAGGGAACATGCAAGGAAAGGCATGACAACACTTGTGTGCTGATTCCTGTTATTCACTGGTGGATCAAGTATAGTGGATTTGGAGTGTATTTGATTTTATCAGTCATTAAAAACTAAGTGGCTTTGTTAGCTAACGTTTCAATTAAAGATCAAAATATCTTCAGATTGTGTATCATATATGCTATATGCCGTTGTGTTCTCCAATATATGCCATTTCTCAGTAGTCTTTGAGTCCATTTAATAAACTATGCTGTCACCCTGTGTAACTGTCTATATTGTAAAGTCCTAATCCAACCAACGTGTGAACAGTTGGCTTCATTCCTGTGCAGGGACTTGTGAAGGAAAGACAGCCATCTACCTAAGATTTTGTGTGATAGGGGCCAAGGTTCATTATGTTTCTCTGACAACACAGGATCCATCTTGGCATGTCGTCTGACCAATGCAAATGCGATACAATGAGGATACCTATATTTAAAATATAAAAGAAAGTCAGAAGTGAAAGACGGCAGATCTTTTTCATCATGATACCATCAAAATACAAGAAACTAAGGTCACCCACCTGTTGATGCTATGTGGGTGCCTGCTGAAAAGAAGTTTGGCCAACCTGCCTTAAGGGATGTTGATATCAAGAAAGAGCCAAGCATATAAAAAACAAATATCGAGAAGTATCAATCGATCAAAAAGTATCACATTTGCACAAACCGACACCCTGGCTAGGACTCTCAGTATACAGTAAAAGGATGTGACCTGGACTGCAGACAGAACTGCTGTTGCTCTCCTGCACCTTCAACTTTCCCAGAAGGTTATTTAGTCTAGAGTTAAAACGCATTTATTAAGTACTGCTGGGATGCTCGTGTTAGTGCTTATGCTGGCTTACACATTGCAAAATTAATTGCATCGAGTTAATAGCACACTTTAACTGCTTCGGCATTATTTGAATTAGATTTCACACTAGTGAACTGATGGTCTTGTGACATAACAGAGCAATCGCCATTTCCACCTGGATGCTGTGTGCACAGTGGAGGGGTAGTTCAGTCTGGATATATTTGTACTATAAAAAGAAAGAGTTTACTTGCTGGAAAGTGGAGGACCTGTGTTCTTAATCTAACCCCCTTCAGCTATCATGAAAAATACTGGAAAGAAAAAAAAGTCAAACAAAACCCCTGATATTCTTTATTTTTATTATAATTTTAACAATATGAGTAAATTGAAATCTGTAAGCAAAGCAATTACATGAGGAGGGTCTAATAAAGTTGTTCAAGCTACAACCTACTTCGATTGTTGAATCAAACTGAATAAAGCAGGCTGCTTTGATGGGCTTTTAGCTTCCACGAACATAATTGGCAGTGACATCTTCTTTTGCTTAATGGCAACGGTCTTCTGTGGGCTGGGAGTTTCACGATCAGCTAAAAGTAAAAATAAAAAAATAAAATTAAATTGGTCACCACTACAAATAGGAAAATTGCTGAACCAAGTACTATCTTCAGTTCAGCTGGTGAAAACTCATCAGCTTCAGCCGGATCTGATTACAAAAAAATTTCTCCCTGACCTGAGCAGAAGAGCAAGTCACAATCTGTGGATCAGATCCTCAGAGATTCCATGACTAACACTGCTGATTAAGGATCTTAAAAAAATCCAGCCAAGCAACCCAACCACTGTAAAGGTGTTTACAGGTTATTCCCAGAGGGCAAATGTTAAGAGTTTGAACTATGTTTTTTCACAAAAGGTATGGTCAGTGGGCCTGATTGTGTCCTCAGACTTCAGGGGAACTTGTGTGGTTAGGAAGGGAGCTTCCCCAAGATCACAGCTTTAATATTTGGCCTGTGCAGTGGGAGCAGGAAGGAAGGCATAACGTACCCAAGGCAAGAAACAACAACGCAGCTGCTCTGCAGCCACTAATGTAGCCCTCAGATGCTGCAGTAACTTTTTAATCTTGCATCTCAATCTTCAGGGAAGTGAAACTCATAGACCTACTGGCATATTCCTAAACCTCATCCTTCCGTGGCAACGCTGGAAACCACCCATCTCCAATACATTAGGAATCTTTGCACGACTGGATTTGGGGTGTTGTTCCCCTTTGGCTGCTTCTCCAAACCTCACCATCTACCACTCAGCCTCATGAAACGCAAGAACCACCCCAGTCCTTCCGCTTCCAGCAACCTCACAACCCCTTCCCAGGGAGCACTCATGACAGGCTCGCTTTTAAGGACAAGTACCTGCTTTGTTCTCCATCCAGAAGGCAGTGATACGCAGCAATGTCTTTCTCCAGCTGTTGTTTGCTGGTGAGCAGACTTTCACGATCCCGCTGCTGCTGCTCGGTTTCTACTTTGATTTCTCCCATCTCTGCCTCCAGCTTGGAAATGACAGAGCCTAGGTTCTGCAGTTCGATGTCGTGCCAGTGCTTGGCATCGTATAAAGAGTTCTCCAGACCCCTTTTCTGTAAGGGCAGGACAGCAGACATTGAAACAGTCAGTTTTCATATGCTTCATAGTGATTTTTGTTCAGGTTTGGCCAATATCTCTACTGAATATGCTTCAATGGAGATGTAATATTTTGAGAATTCCTTTCTTTAGACACTTTGAAAAATGTGTATTATCATTACAAAGGTGGAACTACTTTGGTTATAAGGCACAGATATTCTTCACATTGTCAAGTACTGCCCACCCAGCAATCTCAGTGAGATTGTTATTGATATGAAGACACTGGAGATTGAAATTTGGATCTGGTTGTCAAATGTGGTACACTTAGTGCACCACATCAATCAGTAAGAGCCCAGAAACGTCTGGCATCTCTGGAAACAGTACCCGCTGGAAAACGGGATTTATTCATAAGTCTGAATTCCCAAGACAGGAATGTTTTCCTCAGGAGGCATGTTGAATTTGCACACGATATGTCCATTGAAAAACCAATATTACTTACCAAGGTTCTCAAAGATTCAGTTTCTGCTTGCAAGCTCTGTATTTTGCAGGCTGTTTCATGGAACTCGGTTCTGAGGCCCTCCACCAGCTCTTCCTCCTGGGTTCGCACAGCAGCCGTCGTTTCAACCTGTTGCTTGTAAAAGATGGTGACTGTCGTCACAGCCTACTCAAATTATGTTTTAGTCTCCTTATATACCAAACTGACAGCTAATATTTTCACAGTTTATGGCAATTCTGACTTTAAATTTGATTCTTGTATGTTAAATCCCTCGGTTGAACAATTCTGGATACTTCTTAGGGTCAAAATTATAATATTTTCTATGCATATACTGTGAAATGGCCTATACATATAAGTGTATATATTTTATCTATGCCAACAAAAGCTGTTCAGCATTCATACTAGTACATTTAAAATGACCTATAAAAAGAAAACATTGCTATAGTTCTTCATTTTGTAGCTATACTATAATTTTTTTTTAAAGTTAAGTGTTTTCACTTAGTCTATTGGATTTCAGAAGTGTTCACGCCTTGATTTTTAACATACAATTCTACGAGTCAGAGAGCAAGGCATATCACAGAGGCCAGAAAAATAATTTCTGTTAATTGAATTAAGATATTCTTGTGCAATTTCATGCTCTTGTTGCTTGTGGGTTTTTATATGTGTCTAGTTTAGGCTCCTTGAAAATAGGTGAAGGAAAAGGTACCTTAGTAAAAATAAAATTTCTGTACTTTTTAATGAGGCCTGAGATCAAGGTTTTCAATCCAGAGCTCTGGGCTCTCTAGCAAATACAATTCTTCAGTCAAAACCTACATTTCTGCTGGTTAATGCTAAAGTTAAACTATGCAAAATACTTCCATTCCACTTTGAAAATTCATCTTAGACCCTGTCCTGCTTTTCTGATTATGCATTCTTGTATTTTAAAAGTAAGATCAAATTTAAAAACAGACAAACAAACAAACAAACCCCCCCAACCACAACAAAACAACTGGGACCATGCACCAGAAATAATTTTTTGGGGTTTTTTGGGGGGTTTTTTTGTACCATCATGTGAACCCCACACCTTGGTCATTGTGAATGAAATAATCTCAGGTCATTTAAGTATCGGTTAAGTCTCAAACAGAACTTAAGATTTATGAACCTGTGTTGCAGAGGGCTGAATTTCAATCCAAACACCAAAACTGTCCTTTCCAGCAAATTGCACAGAGCCTATATTTTCCAGAAATACTTTATAGGGGCTTGTGCTTCAGAGAGACATAATTCCACCTCACTAGTCCTCGTGAACCCAGCCTAGTGATCATGGACCTGCCACTTTGGAGTAATTTGTGTTTCCTAAGTTATGCTGAGAGTGTAGTCTGCACATTATTATGGTACAAGGACTATAAATGCCTCTTTTTAAAGAGATACCTAGGGCAGGGAGGGTGCCTTTGCATCTATATTTATAGCCTACACCCGTTAACTGAAGCCTGGCATCTCTCATTCACATTTACCCTGCTGGTGGCCCAAATCCTACCTATAAATCCAACTTGCCCTCACAAGAGGTGATGCTGAAACTCCTCCAGGAGTTACCCTAATCTGTGACAGCTACCTGACGTTAGTGATGTGAATGACAGAAGAGGTGGATGGAGTAGATGGAGGTGGCTGCATCAGGCCCTAAATATGACACAGCAAATAAGCACACACTGAATGAGCTCTAAGGCTTCTGGTACATACAAGGTTTTCCCATCCACTTGACAGGATTACCAGTTGAGTTGCCCCAAGAGTCCATGTGGAGGGTGCTGCTGGGCATGACACTTGGCCTCAGCTTTGGGGGTCCCTTCTGTAGAGAAGTGCAGACGTAGTCTTTGTGCCCTCTTTACTAAGCAATTTGTGTTTTCTGGGGGCTCTGCTCTTCCTATTCCTGAAATGCTCCACAAGGGAAAGGCTATACCAAATTGTGGGGCCCACAATCAACTGGATTAACAGAGGGAGAGGATGAGATCATCTTCCTAAATCTTTATGTGCTTGAGTTTCCTAGGAATGTGTGAATTTCAAGCACTGTCTGTACAGTTCTGAGCCAGACATTGTGCAAGAGTGCAGAATCTCTCATTAGTCTATTTTTCACGGAATCAAGATAATTAAGGATTATTAGGGCTAGAACACCAACATCCTGGGTCTGATCAGCATGATATCTGCAGAAGGCAAGTGACTTTGATCAGCCCTTAGCAGTTCTGGGAACATATTAACAAAGTAGTAAAGAAGGGAGAAGCAATTGACATAATTCACAAGATTTTTCAAAACCTTTTATGAGATCTAGAGTAGGGGATGACAGAGGAAGCTGTGTAATCTTGTGCTCAGGGACTGATTTACCCTTCATATCCATTGCCATGGATCAACAGCTGGTCAAGAGACAGGACATGAAGAGTAAGATTACGGTCTAACAGCTTGATGCCTCATGGTTTACTGCCTTGGGGATGAATCATGAACTAGACGGATTTATGGATGGCAGAAAACAATAAAGATTAGCAATGAGCAGGGGTGGATGTGTGGAATCAAACTACATGAATGAACAGTGCCACATCATTAAGTAAAGCATGTTTGGGGGGAAAATATTAAGCATCTTGCGTGCCTTACAAGGGTTTAAATCACTTGTGTCAATTCAGGGAAAGGTTTTGAGCATTATGGACAAAAAAGTGCAGAGCTCAAACCAATGGACTGAAGATTTGAGGTTACTTACTCATCTAAAAAAAAATCCCATGTGAAACCCTGCTAGGTATGAAAATATAAATTGGTATGTTTTGGTGCCTGAATACCCGTGAAAAATCTAGCCAAGATTGCAAGTCTAGTCAGAAGACAAAGCAAGTGAGGCAAGGGAATTGGTCAGAAAGTAACAAAAGTACATCCTTCACATCTAAGTTACCACTAGGACACCATTTGAAATACCTTGGTCTCAACTGGTCACAGCTACGCCAAAGAGCAAGTGCAGAGAAAGGAAAATAAAGCATCAGGGACCAAGGAAAACTCACAAAGAGAGAGTGAAGAAAACAGTAATGAAGAGCAAAGGAGAGGAGGGAACTGCTCTCTCTTCTCTGATGTTACAAAAGAGCAACAACAAATTTTTCAGCGTGGCTAACCAAATGGTGCCACTTAGCCACATGAGATGACATAAGTCCACAAGCTTAGTTGAAAAAAGGGTTGGACGTAACTAGCAGAACTCTTGTTATCTGTATAAATAGTAATAATCTGAATAGATCTGTTTGAGAAACAAAACCATGTAAGATAAAAAACTGCATCATCTGGGTTTAATGAGAGCTATATTTGGGGACAAAAACCCCTAGAATGTCATACCAGAACCTGCTCTGAACTGAAACTGACCTTTCCAGAAATCTGTGATATTCTCATTCTTCCTCCCATTAAAAAAATCAAACCAAAACAGGAAGAACTGAAACCAGTAAGAGCTTAGACTACGATGGCTAAATAGGGATGGGTTAGGTAGCATCTGTTTATCGGCGTTTCTCTGCAGCATCTGGTGTCGGCCGCAATCAAAGACACGATAGTGGGATCCAATGATCAGTCTAGTATGAGCCGGCAGTTTTCTCCCCGTATGATATCTCTCTGCAGTTGAAACACCAGAAGGTATGAAAGAAACAGGAAGAAAGACATTGTGAGGGTGTGTTTACACAGGAGGAGGAGAAACAGGAACAAGCAGGACAGGAAAGGGACACTGAAGAATTTGGTGCCATCAGCGTGATGCTTATTTTGCTGAAATCCAGCAGTGGGCCAGGAACAGATTTTCTGGGAAAAGTTTAGGAGGCTACTGAGGATGCTCTGGCTTTTCAGGGCTGCATATGCTTTGTATGGAGGCACTCTCTGGGCTCATGTAGTTTTTCACTTTGTCACTGGCTTCCTTTGGGCTGTACAAAATTAAAATCAGGCCCCCGCAGACTAACCTTATGAAAACTTTGCTTAGTAACAGTCTGGCCTGCTCACAAACTTGATTGGATCTCTGGGATAAACTCCTCTGGTTGGCTTCTTGTACATTCCCTAGAACCTTTGGTATCCCTGTTGTCACAGGATTTTTCTTCTTTATTTGGAAAATAAACACCTACTCAGAGCTTGTATATATCTTTGCAAACATATTTCTTGCTTTTCTCCTTGTAGTTTGGCTTCATTACCCACTGCTTCTCTCATAGCAGCTCTGTATCATGGAACGGGGTGGGGGGACGACTATGTTTTTGCTAAATATTTCTATAGCACAGCTGTAGTTATGATTTGGTGTGCCATGATCTGCTGTAATAGCCAATTGAGAATGAGATGGCTTCTAAAATATAGGATCATGCACTGAACTTAATGCTTCAGCTCTGCAAAAATACTTATTTCAGCCAACCACTTTGGAAAATGAGTGATCTTTCATGACAGAGAAAAAGGTGCATTAAAAGGCTGTTTCAGACTCAGCAACAGGAAGGCAGAGAACTTTTAAAGGGAATGGTTATTATCATCACTTTTCATTTCTAAGTTAATATCCATTTTTCCCACCACTGCCAAAGGAAGCAATTTCAAGGAGAAACCCACAAGGAGTCTATAGCTGTATAATTAGTGCAGAGCAATGTATTTTGCCCTTTTGATTTATAGACCCCTGTTCAGTGGAGGAGTGGCCCTAGTAAGAATGGTAACGACTGTGGCTTATCTGACACAGAAGGTATCAACTAATTAGGCTTGTTTCTCTCAGACAACATTTCAGAGCCCTTAGAAGTCTCCCATAGATATCTGTGATATCAGCAGGGTCACTTCTACTGCTGCTTAACTCTGGGCATCCCAAGAAAGTCACTGATACTTATGAGTGTATTTTCCAATGGACTTGGACAGAAATCCTTTAGATTTTTTACCATCTTTGTTGTTTCAGGAAAAAACCAAACACTCAGCCCTCAAAGTTACTGCAGAGTATTAGACAGATGTTGTGTTTGCTTCAAATCCCTTAATGTTGGAGTGGGTTACAGAGCGCTTACCTTGGTACGGAGCAGGGCACCTGTCTCAGCACGGTTCTTTTCAATGTCTCTTTCCCAGTGGATTCTGATTTTTTCCAGTATGTCGTCCAGGCCACTTCCCGGGGGAACATCAAGTTCTTCCAGCTGAGATCCAGCAAGCTGCTTGTATAACACCTTCACATCCTTGAACAAAAAAAACCAGACATAAAAGAAGGTCAACTGCACAATTGAATGGTAGCTTTGGAGGGGCTCAAGGAAGAGGTCTTTTGGTTCCACAAACAGATAGAGTAATTAAATTTGGTCCTGAAAGGTGTCTCTACATGAATGATTTAGTGCACTGGAGGGTTTCTTTTTCAGATGTGGATTTGCCTTGCTCCTGCATGGGGAGACTTGCTGGAGTTCCCCGTGGTGGAAGGAGACTGAAGTCCTGCACCAAGGCACTGTCTGGAGCAGCCCTTCGCAGTGGCAAGTTTCTCCAGCAGTCACAGCTTGACGTACGCACACACGCTGCACACCCAGGACCACAACTATATCGCACTATGCGATAACACAGACATGCATCTACCGGGAGATACAAGTTGTGCAAAGCAGTAAGAGCTCTACAGCCTTGCAGCTTGTGTGAGCCACGTGTGTGCTTTTACACATGTGCACGTTAGGTGAGGAGCACTTTCCTTCTCTGTTACAGCATTCTGTTCTTTCTTTACATATAAGCGCTCCAAAAGTATGTAAGCAGGAGATGTAATATGTAAAAAATATGTAATTGCATGTACATCAATTGTGCACTGCGTTCAGGAACACAAGAATAAATGAGATTTGCACATTTGCACTGTCTGGCACCACAATCCTTTTACATCAATCTGTTTGTATGTGCTATTGACATAAGCAAAAAAAAAAAAAAAAAAAAAAGTCACGTAAAAACATCTGGGAATTGTATTTGTAGGCAATGGCCCCATGGCCCCTGACAGTGACAGTACTGGAAAAAAAGTATGGGCAAGTATATGTGAATTATGAACCTGTAAGAATGAAAGCCTCAAAATGTGCCCACTCTAAGCACACAAAAGCTTCGAAAGGACTTGACATGGATTTCCTAGCGCGGGTATTGGAGGAAAGAAAGGTTTTAATTAGTTCAGGAAGGTCCTTGGGACTTTATTGTGCCAGAACTCAACTGGAGTAACTGCAATAGTTGCTTCCAGCCTTTATTCTGTGACTTCTCTTGAGCAGCTTCCCCTGGTGCCGCTGCCATGGGAAAACCAGGTCTGTGCTGGGGTGGTTCTGCAAATGCTCAGATACTCCCAACGGGTAAAGAAAGGAGCATCCTTCCACCCTGCAAGGGCTCCTCGCTGGCTAAGTGCAGAGCGAGAGGAGCTGTTGGAACGCTGTTATTCTTGTTATGCCATATATATGGGCAGCGAACAGCATCAGTGCCAACTTTTCCTGTTTCACAGCAATCATTGCAATACACAGAAGTTGAAAGGGGATCTTATGTATTTCTATCAATTTTCCATTGTCCCTCTTATCTAAACCAACTTCTGTCTTCCTCATGCCATGCAGCAGTGTTGAAGCCACTGATTAATTTCTGCAAGATGCCAGCCTTGGCAATAGACTCATGAAAGTATCCTCATGCCGTGCAGCGGTGTTGAAGCCACTGATTAATTTCTGCAAGGTGCCAGCCTTGGCAATAGACTCATGAAAGTAGGGAGGGGATGAAGCAACTTCATCTTGGCAACCCAAGTCTCCATGTGCCTGCCAATGTTGCTGAAATCTTGTGGTTGGAGAAATTACATGTAAGAAATGCAAGGTAGGAGAGTGCCTCACTTCCATGAGAGTGCAGCGGTGTTGAAGCCACTGATTAATTTCTGCAAGGTGCCAGCCTTGGCAATAGACTCATGAAAGTAGGGAGGGGATGAAGCAACTTCATCTTGGCAACCCAAGTCTCCATGTGCCTGCCAATGTTGCTGAAATCTTGTGGTTGGAGAAATTACATGTAAGAAATGCAAGGTAGGAGAGTGCCTCACTTCCATGAGACATCTCAGTTCAAGCTCTCTTTTACTTTAGAGGCATCAGCACACTTGCTTGCCGTCCCTTATGTGGGATTAGTAGTAGCTTCATATTTGATCTGCCAGTAAAGATGCTGCTTTGGGTTTGATCCTGAAACCCCCACCAAAGGGAATAAACCACCTTCATGCAGATAGTGCTGGTGAATGCAATAAGTGGGAAAGTATTGCAAAATTGGGTAATAATAGGCTTCCCTTCCAGCTACCAGTCCCTGTGACTTGCTTCAGGGTTGTGTTGCTCAGGAGAGCATCAGGTTTGGGACCAGTAAAGATGCTGCTTTGGGTTTGATCCTGAAACCCCCGCCAAAGGGAATAAACCACCTTCACGCAGATAGAGCTGGTGAATGCAATGAGTAAGTGGGAAAGTATTGCAAAATTGGGTAATAATAGGCTTCCCTTCCAGCTACCAGTCCCTGTGACTTGCTTCAGGGTTGTGTTGCTCAGGAGAGACTCAGTTTTGGGAACCGAGCAGCTTGCTAAGCCAAGCAGGACTCTTTCTGAAGAGCCCGGTTAATGCTCAGTGTTAGTGCAGCAGGACCAGAGCTTGTTCCCTGCACAGGCATTTTCTCTTTACATCTCTGGCTGAGAATCAGACTTCACTGTGGGGATGTCCACATATGTGACTGTGCAGCCCTGTGACCATCGTGTGGTGTCTAGCAAGAAATGATGACTTTGCTTCCATGTCATATTTATCAGATGAGAAAGTGTTAAAACTTAAATGTAAGTAATTTGATGATGTCTCAGAGGTTGGTGCTTTAAGTTAACAGCAAACAGAGAAATTGGAGCAGTTTTCAGGACAATCCCCCCACCCAGACGTGGCAGGCAGAGCTTTTTAGAGTTTGCTTTGCACTAGATGTATGATACCAACCAGATGAAACAGGCACACATTGGCTTTGCAGTGTCACGAGTCTCGACTTACTTCTTCGTGATTCTTTGACAGCAAAGTTAGTTCTTCTTTCATGCTCTCTATCTGACTCTCCAGATCTATTTTAGTTAAATTAGCATCATCAATCACTTTATATAGGGAATTAATTTCATCTTCCACTGCTTTTCTGAATGGCTGCTCATTTTCATACCTGCAGAGAAAAAAAACCCAAACAAACCTTAATACAGCACAGTTCAGCAAGAAAAACCTGCGTTTTTTTTTAAAACGGCACTATTGTGCTAATTAGCTCATGTGTCCCAGACAGAGGCACAGAAACACAGAATACTTTGCTCTCACCTTGTCTCGCTATACTTGAATTTTACTGCCTAGAGTACCCTGTCATTAACTCAGAGTGTAATAAAACAGGCCACGTTAGCAGTCTGCGCTACAGTGGTTATCAGCCTGATAGGATTCCCGAATAAGCACGGAGAGGCACTTGGTCTCCTGCTAGATCTGGTATTTATATACATTATGACTATGGGTGGCTTTTTCTCTGTTTGCTTGGCTGTAAAATGAGAATAACTGCTCATTCCTCTACATGAAAACTTTTCTGAGCTATGGCTAAAGAAAACACACGCACATCAAGCATTACTTTTACTAACAATGGACACGCCGATGGAAGTCTGGTCTATGTTCCAGGGTCCCAGCCCATCCTTAAGACCAAATTCCAGTAGCATCAAAATAAAGAGGAAATTTGAATGGCTGGTTTGTCAACTATATGAGTGTAGCTTGCTGAACAGAAAGCCGTAAAATGAGTATCTCAGAGCTGTACCTTTCTGAAATAAAAGGCAAACTTAAGAATGTGATTAACACACTTTTTGATAGGATTAAATAAAATAATACCAGGGAGAGAGAGAGAAGTTTAAGGGATGCTAAAAATTCTAGGAAATAGAAATCAGTTAGTTTGAAATACTGTTTGTGTGTCAGGTCTTGCAAAAAGCTATTTGTAAATGAAAGAGTCCATTACGAGTAAAAGCTAGAAGGATCACGTCTCCTGAGTAAAATTTAAAGAGCTTCACGCACTCATGTGGATTGTAGGCTTTGCAAACAGAAAGACATTAAAAAAAGTAGTTTGCCAGTATTTAAGATCTTCTTTTACTATTCATTTCTCTCAGTAAAGACAAGGAAAATCAGTGCAGGCCATTTCTGTTTTCTTATCTAATGTTTCCACGCTGTTGTTTGTAGTTGTGCAGTTTTTGCTTTTCAGCTGCTGCAGCAGAATGATTTTTACTTCCAAAACCACTTGTGTGGTACTGAAAATTAAAACTAAAAATGACATGGAAGTTTGCCTTTATAAAATGTCAACCTAAATTTGAATGAATACGGACCTCTCAGTAAAAGATCAATGTCTGTATAGCAAAGAATAGCTGAAGTAATTTTGCTAGTGCATACATTTGTTGCTATAAATCTTCAAAATCTTCCAAAATAATGTTAGCATCATAATTATTTTGCTGTTACAAAATCCCTCCCAAGTCAGGTGGTCGACTATTCAACGTAAAAGAACGAGCCCATTCTACCCACTAAGCATTACTTCCCTATAGGGAAGCCTTTGCCAAGGCAAAGTTTCAAAGAAAGTGGCCAGCTGGGTGCCACCACAAGCCTACCGGTCTTTAAAATCTTCAGCACAGGCTTGAATGTTCTCGGTGTGCAGCATAAGACGAGCATTTTCAAGGACTGCTTCACCCACCTAGAAGAAAGAGACAACAGAGCTCAAGCAATGAAGGGCTTCAACACAGTAGCTATGTGCACTGTACATGTATCTTAAGCAGATGTATAGCTTTGATTCTGAAAATAATCCTTGAGTCTAGGGCTGTTCAAGTGACTCCAGATAATTTAATCAATTAATTTTGTACATATAAATTCACAAATTCTCTGCAAATAGGCTGTAATTTGTGATCAAACTGTTCATTGCTCTTAAGCATTCATCTTCTTGTGGAAACACATTTATTCTGATCATCAGCTGGTCGCAAGGGGCGAAATTCATTACTGTGCACAAGGTATGGTCATCATTTAAGTCCCACTTATGTTTTCTAGATACAGTTTAAGTAGCACTTATGCAGTTCCTATTCTACTTCCCATATCAGCAGTCCTCTTCGGGGTCGTCCTCTTCAGTGAGCCAAGGAATACTTGTTGCTCATGCCGCCTGTGAGCCGTCCTCAGCTCCCAGAGCATCGTTTTTCTTCTCTGATGGGATCCTGTAAGCTCTTGCAATAGATATGATACCTGAGAAGCAGGCAGTCTTCAAAGGTTATTACACCGAACGTGAAATGCTTTGGAAAGGTCATGCAAATAAGACTGCGGTATCATTGCTGTGGCTCTGGGGGCGTGTCTTTAATGCCCAGGAGACACTTGAGGGATAAGCAAACCTGAAAGGCTTGTGACATAGCAGCTGCTTGTGGTTCAAGAGGGTTATATAAAATGATGAAAAGATAAAAAAAGACCACTGCCTGCCCTGGAATCACGTGTGCACTGAACTATGGAGGTGACCGAAGACATGCTGAATTCAGTACCAGGATTAGAGCAATCATCTCTGCAAACAACTGTCTAGGGGCTCCAGCCATCCTGTGGTCCAAACTGTTGCTTTGGAGGAGCTAAACTGAACATCTCTTTGGTCTTTTTCAGGAGACACCTGTGGAGATTTGCAGTTGAACCTAAACCACCACATGAATACGAGCAGCTTTTTAAGCAGGCCAGGAGAGTTCTTGAAGCAGAAATATTTCTTTAGATAATTAAGTCTGCAGCTAAATGAGACTGCAAATCCCCTGAAGCACTCTGCTCCCCTCAGGTGAAACAGGCTGTGCAATGTGGAGACGTCAGGGCTTCGTCCAGGCAAGTTATCTCAAGTACTGCAAGTGGGATCGTTGCCTTAGTATGGTCCTACCTGCTCTTTGGTCTGCTGCTTGGTGACGAGGTGGAGGTGGACATGCAAGGCTGAAGCATTTCTACATGGTAATTAACATTTACTGTCATGAAAAGTGGCTTACCGCTCCCAATGTCTTACAAATGCTTGGACAAACAAATATGAAATATGTGAAGGCATTTGATAAGGAGATATCTGGAGGAATAATTTACTCCCCACATTGAGAAGACCATAATAGATCATATAGTTAAAAGCACTCTACATCTTTTTAATCTGAGGAGACATGAGAGTTAAAAAAAATTGGTTTGCTTACTTCTCACCTACTGTTAGGAACAAAAAAGGAAGGTGGCTGTGGCTGGAAGCCTGGGGCTGGGGCTGGATTCCTGGCA